CGAGGTGGTTACAAAAGCGATGACGGGCAGAAATTCTTGCGGTGTCCGTCTGTCTTCTCTGCGCGTTATTATCACTCTCTATATGTGTGTGTGTGTGTGTGTGTGTGTGAGTGTAATTCTACGGAATGAGGAGAAACCTGGGCACGCTTGCGGGAGTAACATAATACGCGTATATTATATATTATTATAATAGTTTCTCGTCTGCGAGACACTATGATAATAATAATCATAATATCATCATATACGTATTTATATAACGCACCTCGACTGCGACGGGCTGACGACGACCCGAGGGCATATACCGGGGGTGGTGCCGGGGCGGCTCCGTCCGGTTTATCGGGGGGCCGTTTCCGCGAGCGTATACACAAAGGGGAGGCGCGGTATCTCCGGTGTTCGAACTGCGGGCCCCGCGCGACGACCGTCATTGTTTGTGTTGTTCCAGCGGATATCCCAAGGCGAAGTCTAACCGGGCGCGCGGGTCTCTACGCGTCTACTGTATTGCCGCACGCAGGTCGGTCGAGATAACGTTCGAGCACGCGCGCGCGTCTCTGCCACAATATGACGCGATGACGATACGACGATTCACCGACGTCGTCGTTGTCGTCGTCGGTATATAATATTATATTATAATGCCCAGGTATATTTCCGCCGCAACGATTCCGCATATCACAAAGGCCGCGGATATTATTGCGGTATTGTTATAATACGTTCGCCTACACCGACGAAAACTATACGCGCGCAGCCGGGGAGCTTTCGCTGTCTATATCGTATAATTATATTATAATATTGTTGTCGCCGCCGCCGTCGCGTTCTGGTCCGACGAGCCAGATTAAACGAGCGCCGCCGCCGCGAGTGTACACACATCGCCGACCGTCGACCGCGAGAGAGAACGCTGCCGATGCCACTGCTACGGTCGTACAGCCGCGAAGGCCATAGACAATGGAGACCGGTGGCCAGACTATTATAATGCGCGTCGTGATTTTACACATACACGGGGATGCCAGCCGAAATCGTTGTGTAAATAATAATAATATTTATACGTGTATGGTGGATATAAAAGAAACGGGAGGAAAACTCGGAAAAAAAAAAAAAAAAGTAAAACAAAATAAAAACGGACCCGTAGTATAATAGCCTGGTGTGCGGCCGCGCAGCGACGTTCTGTCGGTGACGTTTCCAGCTGGCAAAAAGGTCGAGTCGGCTCTCCACTCCGTTTTCGTGATTAAATGCCGCGGCGGCGGCAGCAGTGGCGGTGATTCGACTACGCGCTCGCTGCAGTGTTCGCTATATAATATAAAGTATATATACGTAGTAATATCTCTTCGCTCGGACTTTTGTGAAGTTGCCAAGAAACGAGCACACACATAGTATATACCCTGTACATATATATATATATATGTATAAATATGTGTATACGTATAACGGCCGAACGTTTTCGTTTAACCGAGAGACGGACGACGTATAAAGTAGTACGTCATTCTCTCTCTCTCTCAGTCTCTCCCTCTCGCCGTGGTGTGCGTACTATTACAAACGACCGGCGGCTAGGGAGGAAATATAAAAACCAGTTGGCTGCTGGCGTGGCGTCGCGGATGAGAAGGATCGGCGGGGCACGTCAGACGACTAAAAACGCGGCCAAGTAATTCGCAATAAATCTTTCGCGGGCGAAAGGCGGCGGCGGCGGGCGTTCGCTGGTTAACGAGGCGAATATTTCGTCGTCCGGGACACGGAACTGCTACGCCTACCGCAGCGTCCGGAACCGCAGCAGCAGCAGTACCAGTGACGGTACCGCCAAGAAAAATCAAATCGATACCTCCGCACCGCCGGTTGCCTTGTCTCATGTAGACGAACGTCTTTCGATCGTCATCTTTTATCTTAAAATTTTATCTTGAAAAAACCGACGTTTGATAATAAAAACGTACGCGCATATCAATAATTGTTTTGTAAAAATGCATTTTTTCAACGCTCGGCGTTTACGAGTTGAACATTCGTTAACAAATCAAATTACTTACAAAGTCACAACACAAGTTATATAAGTATACCGGGAGCTTTGCTCGAAATAAAAAACACAAATTTTCGTTTATAATAGTATAAGTAAATTGAATTTCATAACAGATGCTAGTACACAATATTAAACATCATACTTTTAACGTTTAATATAATTTTAAAATATATATATTTATCATCTAGTTAAATAATGGTTATCTATTTCCAATAATATAAATAATTTTAATTCAATTCTTTTTTTAAAATTTTATCTTGAAAATTTTTTTTTTTTTGTGTCTCAATAATGTTACTCCTCGTCAATATTATATTCCCGATGTATAGTTAAAATGTTAATAATTCGAAAACACGAAAAATATACACACACTCGAGTACTAAATCCGTCAACTGCGATCTTATTTGTCGGATTATATAATGATAATAATTCCGAATCGACGGGGTTTTTTTTTTTTTTTTTTATTAATAACAAAAACGAGACCGGCCGAACTTAAATCAAAAATCCTCTCGGGTATTCACAAGGAGGATTTTTTTTCGTTATTTTATCTGATCAGCATCATTTCAGAATACCAATACCGGGGCTAGGGCAGTCCCGGGTAGCCAGGTTTAAGGTGCTCTCGAAATACGACGCGCAATGTGATCATATATAATATTAAATATATTAAAACTAATTTCAGTCAGGAATAGAATTGGAAAAAAAAAACAAACATAAACAAAAAAATGCTTGGGAAAACGGAACGATTAAATTATATTTATTTATGTATAAAATGTTAGGGAAACGTCAACACGGCTTTAAGAGGAACAAACAGCAAAAAAAAAACGCCGCCGGAAAAACAGTTTAAAAAAAAAAAAAAACAGATGATATACTACTCCGAGCGTGTATGTAACACATTTTACATAAATTTGAATTTTATTTAAATGTATATTATAAGCATTCCTCGACACAAAAACGTGTAAAAAAAAAAAAAAAAATAAAAAACTTTTTCCAGGGACCTTTGTCGGATGGTTTTGCGTCTGCGGTTTTCAAAATGTATGCGAATGGCTATACTATATTATTATAATAACATAAAATTGCTGCAGATGTGCACACGTCGTATTTAAAACTGAGGATAAATATTAAAAATTAACGAATCATACAGGCATATGCGACGGACCAGTGGAAGGAGGGAGGAATGGTAATCCGGAATGGTTTTTTTTTATTTTTTAATTTGTATTTAATGAATAACAATTTTAAATTCCGTACCCAATGTATATACTATCCGTTCCGCGGTAGCATAATATATTTTATTATTAACATACGTTTTATCAACATCTCGCAAAAGTACATTAACGTTATTAACGAAAATGGAATTTTCCACAAACAATAACTACTATATGGCGAACTTCGCTTTACTGACATTGCCTAACGAAAAATTCAAATAACACCTGAGGGTTTCGCGAAAAAACCCCATAATTGTTTAAAGTTTTCCACAAAAAGCACATTGATTGCCATCGTAAATAATACTATCGTGGTTAACGACTATTCAACCATATTATTAACATAGACATATATTTGAACAAACGTCGTGCATTTTTCTGCTACTCCATTCATGGTATACACTGTACGTGAACAAACATTAAGCGAGGAGAACGATAGTTTAGGACAATTATAAATAAAATACTTATACGTTTTTATTACGGCATAAAATCTATTATGAATATAGTGGTATCAAGCCACGTGTGTATACAATAAACTCGATCGGCAAGAGATGAAGCCACCTCAATAACCATATCGGAATCCCGTTGTCCCTTTAAGATACGCGACCGGCACGTAAACAAGTTGATGCGATTTAAACGTTTATTTTTCGACCGATTTTAAATCCCGAACCAGAATCGTATTGTTATTATTATACGGTTCCCAACAATAATATTATCATTCGATCGCCATCCCCCGGAAAAACGTGGCGGTCACACGCTGTGGTACACATAAGGGTTGCGGTTAGGGGTGAACTCATCCTACCCACGAAATTTTTTTTTCTTACCGCAATTTTGAAAATCGAGTTTTACATTCAACGACATACTTAAACTTATTCCCGTACCATCTTATACCGCAATTAATTTTCATCGAAAATCATTTATTCAGTAACAATAGCACTGTACTGATAAAATGAACATAACATCCCATTTCTACGAAATTATCATAAATAAAACCCCAGCCGGTAAAACATCCCGCGTGCACTACTGGTCGCACGTCAATGACAATAATTTGATTCACGTAAGGTTTTCGAGTGTTGTTTTCGTTTCGGCGGTATGTACGGTCGTCGTCGTCGCCCGCGCTATACATTGCGATAAAATAATATAATTATAATTATTGTAACAATACAATAATAATTGACGGGAAAATTCCGGGGCGGAGTGCGTAGCGCGGTACACACGCACACGCACACACACACACGCACACACACATCAGGAAGAAATACGAATATAATTGAAATTTCCGAGCTATTACACTGATTTGGCTTTGCTTCAACGTTTATTATCTTTCGCGTATTACTGCAGCTACGCGCGCGCGCGCCGTCGGTCGTGTAATGGATTTCGTTTCTTGCGCGCGATTGTCTCCGCCGCCGTTGTCCGTCCCCTGTCGTCCGTCCTCCCCGGTCGTTTAATTATACATCCGATCGCGACAAAAACAATAAACGTCGTCTCCGCTGAGTTACGATCGCCCGGCCAGAGGGGAAGAACGGCGCCGGGGGTAGCAGGTACGGCGGTGGGCCAGGGAAGGGGGAGCGACTCATTAGGAGCGAAAATTGAAAGATGTTTTTTTTTTCTCTTTGTTTTTCGCACGCTCGCCGTTTCCTCCGCCGCCGCCACGCCCTATATCCGCTCTCGTCATCTCGCTCACGCGCCCCGTCCTCAAACTTACGCCCGTCTACCCCTACTGCGCGGCGAATCCTCACCCCGATCTTCTCCTTATACACCGTAATATGGCGATATACGTAATATACGACGTGTACAACATCATATAGTAGTGTTACCGTATTTTATTATAGGCATTTTTCACATAAATCGAATTACCCGGCTGTAAATACAACAACGCCAATAACTGTGTATCTATACAAACCGTATAAACGGAACCAATTTTCGAAATTCAATTTGTACGTCGTATCGTATAATGTAAATACAACGCTCCCTCGTAGACTCCCTAGACCTATTATGACGATAGCGCATGATCAAAAGCCAGTTCGTCGAAAATAATAATACACCGGAATAACCACGAACATTTTTGACTCTCGTGATGTTTGACCGGCCGTAAAATTTCACTTGAGAAATAATACCTCCTTGGTAAAGTAACCGAGGATAAAAATTCGCCTAATTTGACAATTGGGGAGGGAGGGTAAACGTTCTTTATTGACTGTATTGTAGAGTACAATATTGCGAGAGTTGATATTCACTGATAAGCCGCTGGGTTCGAAATAATAACAGAACCACAGACAAATCAGAAATCTGTATAACATTTTGTCGACGAGTGATGTGTATGGAAATATAAACATATTTAATTTAGATTTAATTTTTAGGGTATTATTTTGAACCTTTTGATTAGGTCGAACAACGCAGATATACATCGATATTGTCGCGACTCGTGAATATACAAGTCGTTCGTTTCTACGTCGTGTCGTTCGCCGAGAATTGGGCAGATGACGTGAGCCTTTTAGAAGGTATTGATTTCCGTGGTAGTTCAAATCAAAACCTCATAACTACAACCGCAACTTTTTCGCATGCTGGTTGTAACCTTTAAGGTGCAACGGGCTTCCGATACCAGGGTCAAAGCCACTTTAATTCATATGGCAAGTATCAGGTTTAGTTTATTGTATAAATGTATGACTTGATATGACTATAGATGTTGGTAATCGTAATATAAAAAAACAGGAATAGGTATTCCACGCACGATTGTTTCAAAACTGTCGCTTAATATTGTTCACGAACATCATAAAAGTGGGGGGAAGGGAAGGTGGGTTGAGGGAAGAACATTATTTTTGTTAAAATATATAACGCCTGCGTCCCGGAGGCGATCGCAAAGAAATCGTTTCGGAAAATTCGGCCGATCGTAAAAATAAAACGACCGTGTCCCTCGGTATGATAAGCACACGGTTGTCGCTATATCGAATACTGTTTTTTCGTTAACGACGTCAGTAAAAAATGTACGTACAGCTCAAGTCGTCCACCTTTTTGGACCTGTTAATGTTTATATATTGCACAGTATATAAGGGGACTCGATTTCGAATTTTCCAAATTGCCTAAATATATATAATTCTTAATGTAATGCGGACCGAATGGAAGTAAAATAGATTCGATTTCTTGCGATGACCTAATGGAAAGAAAACGTAAATATATATAAAATATTTAACGAGAAGCTTTTAAAACAATGTTGCTATAATGAATGGATTACTCTTTTCAGAGAATATATATATAGTAGCTCGAGTCGAATCCTCTTCTCCAAACCGCTTCTTTTCTGCTCGTCTTTATTTATTATCGTGTATATCGTCTGATGCGTCGTCGTAATAATATAGCACGCACATAACAATAAATATATATACGGTGGCTACTAGCTGTGCACATTTATAAATCGAGTTGAAAATGCTGATTTATTATTAAGTTTAATGGCAAAATCCTTTTAGTTAAAAAGAAAAAAAAGAGACAACCGCACAAGTCTCATCCTTGTAATATAGCTTGTATATTTTACGGAAACGCAAATATACGTATGCAAATCAATAATATAAGTATCCGAGTGAATATAGGCACTGCGAATCACTGCCAAGACCAAATATTATACGACTGCGATCAGGGGATGCGATTCATTTCTTACGATCAGAGTTACGAGTAAGAAACATATGGTTTGAAATATTGAAAAATATAGTTTTGTTTCTAAATATTTGTTTATTGGTTGATTTGGTGTCATTAATATATTGTAGTATATAATATTCACTTTAAAAATTAAATAATATATACCTACGTAATTATTATTTAAATTGAAATATTGCGCCGTTATAAATAGTATCAACAATTAAAACTCATCAAACTAGTTGTTAAAACTATTGTTAATTTTAATATTATATACATTCAATAGGTATGTTTTTAACAATTTTCAAAAAACTACGAGAAGCACCTATATTTCTGCAATAATCATTATTAGAATTTTAAATTTCAAAAATAAATAATATTTATTTTTTTATTTTTCATAATAATGAGATATTTCATGCAGTTTTCTTAAAATAGGTATTTCAAAAATATTAGTTTATTGCAATTTTAGAACCCTAATTACAACAACCAACAAATAATGCAATTGTTTCAAAATGAAGTATTTTATACCAGGACTTTGATTCCTGCAAAAACATAAATATACGTCCACTACATTATCCTTAGTTCCTTGGGAAGAAGAGCTTAAGTCAATTTCGTATGATTTCAAACACAAACAAATTAAACTTTAAAAATCGGTAAATGACTAAAATGCTAAATTACTAAATAAAATACAATTACAGAATATGCGTACTTGTGCCGTTTAAACCAAAAAAAAATAAAAGCAAACAAATTGCACGAGACAAAATAATTTTAAAAAAAATCCAAAAATCGACTTAATCCCTTATTCCCAATAATCAAAGATACACATATGAATGATGTAGCTAGTCGAGAAGAGAATCAGCATACGATAAAAAATGGCGTCCGATGTAATATTATTTATTTTTGCACCCGTTATCATGTTTAATATCGTAGATATCGAAAAAAAAAACGGATTTATATTTACATTGACTTACACTCCTCGACAGGCAATCGTCCCGATTACACACTGTCTCTCTCTCTCTCGGTTTTTCTTTTTTAATGACATGATTATTTTTTAAGTGTTTTTGATGTCATAACTACAATTCACGACCAATCTCTATCTTAATGTGCATCTCTCCAGTTTTTAACTTTGTAGGTTTTCTAAATCCTCTTATACCACGTTCACTAACCTACACTATGGCTACTATAATTTACTCACGATTACATTGAAATTTATACATGGATGTTAAATATATTATTTAAAAAAAGGTTATAAACTATGTAGACTTATATCATTTTATATTTTTTTTTTTTTTTGGAATTGTCTACTGCAGATGACTCCTTTATTGTCAGATTATTATTTATATCTATACTTAATTTCAAATTTATAAGGAAATAATTGTTCTCTTTTAATTTTTTTTTTGAGATGTATAATAAATAAATCAGACGTTTTAGTTGTAGTTAACTATATTTTTTATTTTAAATCGCAGATGAACAGCAAAATTATCTAAAAACAAAATTATACAAAAAATCGCATAAATCCGATAAAAACTTTTTATATAAAATGAAGTGAGAGGTTATTGATGTTGATATGATAATGATATAATACAATATGAGATTGTGCTATATATTCCGAAATACCAAGTATGTAAATATTTATAAAGGTATTAAAAATCAATATTTATCGATAAATCTAAAATGTGTAAATATCTACGCAATTCTGGTTTTGAAAAATGTTAATATGTATATATATATATTTGATAATGGGCGAATAAGTTATTTTTGTGTTATTATGAATTCACATTTTATTACCTATTTTATATTCGTATCACTGTGATTGTTGACGATAATTGACGATATTATTTAAAGTATTTAAAAGATCACGTAAAAATACTTCATGCATGGTTTTAATGAGTGGCGTTGCAACTAAAAATTATGTATATATATATCATAATGATTATAAACGTATTAAGCTACAAAAAAAAAAAAATCGTGACATCAAACGGATTAAATTTAAGGTTAAATGTATTTAAATTAGGAAACTAATTTCCGTGGCTCTTTTTCACCACACGTGTGCAGCACGCAGAATACACACGCATTGTGGGCGAAACAACTACAAATGTATAAAAGCAAAATGGGAAATCTAATTTAAACCCTTTTTTCTGCACATTTTTTTATTTCTAACGCTGTATAAATATAATTATAAAATGCTATATAATTTAACATTTTTATTGTGAACCGTGTGCTCGCATGCGTGCGAAATCCAAGGTATCTAAAAAGTCAACCCAGGACATTTTTCTTTTAAGGAGATATCCTGTGTCTAAAGATAGATACATAGCAAAGCCCGTTGAACACCTAATAGAGTAATTGTTTTGCTTACTATGTCTACTAGAAAATAAACGGTGAATAATTATTGAAATAGACGATTTTAAGACAAAATATTTTATTTTATACATTCTATAAAAATATTCTTACAAGCGGGAGGATGGATAATTAGTGGTAGAATCAAAAAGTTAAAGTTTGGTTTATTTGCTCATGGAACTTGTTTTAAGGGAATGAATAGTGTATACACACTGCATATAATATAAATAATCGCCAAAAATTTCACAATAATCTTATATTTCTCAAATATATTGAGATATTAGTTTACTAATAAAAAAAAACAGTATCTCCATTCTCCACATTGTCCATACTATTTTATTCTCTAGAACATACACATACGTAATGTAAATGCTGTGCTTTTCTCTAGTATTTTAAAATATTTTTTACGACGTTTTATAATGCATTTTAAAGACATTTCTAGTGGAGTTACGGTGTTTTTCCTAAATAAAAAGAAAACGGAGAATTATTCAATTACATCGAAAACGAAATAACCTTAATTTTGAAAAGTCGTTTTATTAGGATGTCAGTGTATAATATATAAACTGCAATTTTATTTGTATGCGAGATAAGAATCGAAATATAGTTCGAGTTTAATCATTATTGCGTACATAAGAATGTAGGCCGGTTCGCATCTATTTTTTGTTTACCTTTTAGACTCGTTTTACAAGTGAATTAACCATCGGTCGGAGTTTAAACCTAGTTCAAAATGAAAATCTCGTATTACAAAATTGACTATTCGTGGTTTAAACTGAATGAACCCACCCATTGTTAAACTACCGATTTCGATGACTTAAATTTGGTTTAGAGATAGTCTGCCATTTGATTGGTTGTATATGAATAAATTGACAACGAACAATACCGTATTATGATAATCAACTTTCATCACTGATTTACAGATAATATTATTGTTTGTTGGCTACTAATAAAAACGCAATTGAAATAATATTCAAATTCTACAAATATTTTGAGTTATAGCCGACAAACAAACATTATAAAATTATTCACAATTGGTCAACTTGTCCACTATCCCCTAGATATTCCATAAATAC